GTGAAAAAGTATCACCCACTTTGACAAACATGTGTCTATTCTTCAGATAACAGCTGATCCAGCTAAGGATGGGGCCTTCGATACCCAATTGCCACAATTTGTATTGGAGCTTTTCATGATTTACTTTATCGAACGCTTTGGACAAGTCGAAATAAATAACGTCCACACCCTTCCCCTTGTTAATAGCTAAATTCCAATCGAACAGACAGTCTGCCATAAGGGTACCTGTGGAAGCACCACTAATAAACCCATGTTGCTCTGCGGGAACCAGATTGTTCTTCATCAAATGGGATACAATTTTGTCACGCAAAATCGTCTCTAGAGCTTTAGCGGGGGGTGCCGTTATGCTTATAGGACGAAACGAAGAGACATGCTTAGGCTCAGGTACCTTAGGGATGGCAGTCACGATAGATTCTTTCCAGCTCATCGGGATCTCACAGAACATGAGAGATACATTGAGTATCATACAAATAGGTTTGCATAAGGAAAGGGCACAATTTTTATAAACAATTTGTGGAATACCATCGAAAGGAACCGAGGTGGAGCACTTGAACGATCTTAGTATTTTGTAAACGTCTTCATTTGTTACCACACACTCCCTGATAGTATCAAGAGATACACGACTTTCGGAGCTTACGTCAGGGTTTATGTTACCCGCAGAGGAGAAAACGGAAGAAAAGAACTTGGCAAGGGCTTCAGCTTTTTGGACATCAGTTACGAAAAGATTTACCTGCATCATCATGAAGCACAGGTATACCAGTATGAGTCCTAAGCCTACTTTTAATTAGCGCAAAGAGAACTCTTTTGTTTGGGCTAGTGATAACCCTTTTTTCCCTATAAGACAGGAATCTCTTTAAGTGATGATCAAGTTCACGACAAACTTTTTTGTACTGAAGAGCTGACAATGGGTCATTTGGTGACTCAACATAAAGCCGCGCTTTCTGAGCTAACAAATTGCTAATATGTCTCGGATATTTCGTTGGTGGCACAGATACGGAATTGAAGGGTACATACTTAGATAGTGCTGCGTAGACAACGCGGCAAAATCTTTTGTACATGTCCTCACAAGAAGCATATCCATCAAATACGCTCCACCAATCTATAGAGGAAAAGTACTCCGATAGCGAAGAGTAATCGGCTTTGGCGAAGTTGGGTAATGGAAGTTTACTCGGCCTAGATGAGGAAATGATAATTCTAAAAGATATTATGCTGTGATCAGACGCTGCTAGAGGAGGTAATACCGAAACGTTCCTAACAATATCAGTGTTGGATAGTATTATGTCCAGAGTAGACTTTCCTCGTGTGGGCTTACATGCTGAACAAAGCCACAACACCGAAAGAACTCTAGAAACTTAGCGGAAACAGGATTGTTGGCCCTGCCCATTTTCCAGTCAACATCGATATTAAAGTCGCCTAGAATAACCAGATGCCTATTCGAAGTACATAGATCGAGCAAAGAGTCGATGAGGGTACTTCATCATCTGACGTAGGATTAGTGGTCTATAAACAAGCACAACCCTAAACAGAACAGCGGAGGATATGTCATAGCCATCTAGGCAAAGTAGCTCAGAGTTGAGGGAAGCTGGGCTTGCAACAGAAGCTAGAAAAATGCATTCTTGGCTATACAACAAACACCCCCACCCTTACGCTCCTTACGATCAAGCCGGAAAATGTTGTAGGGGCGACTTTCAAGAAGTTCGGAATTTGTAATTCTCGAGGAAAGCCATGTTTCGGTGATGAAAACCATATCTGGGTCGTGTGTCCAATAAGAAGTGCAAATGGTGCATCTTATTGCTTAAACTTCTAGAATTAAAAGGTAACATCGAATACCCGGGAGTGGACCGTGGCGACTTAGGCGTTTCCCGAGCCCCGTCTATTAGGGAGCTCGTCGACACGTCTTAGCTCACCACGGTACACTACCCAAACACGGCCATTTAACTGTTTATTGCGAGCCCTGCACTCTTCCCTTAACTCGAACTCGTGTTTGCGCTCAGCAGCGGTTAAGCTTTTACGTATGTATACATTTGAGAAACCTGCTGCGCGCAAACGATGGCTATTGGTAAGGGCCGTGAGCCAGTGACTCCTGGCTGGGAGTACAAGTTTAACCAATCGTGGGTGTGCACCTCCGGGTTTCCCCATACGGTATACCTCCACGGGCGGCACTCGACCCCCATACAGTCAAGAATATCACCAACTTTCCCTTCGAGTTCCTGCTGCTTCACAGAGGGAGGTGTAGTAGGGGCAGATTCAGGGATTCCGAAAATCACCAGGCTACTGCCCTCTTTCCAGCCTCAACAGCGCGTTGATATATCTTCCCATAACAAGGTCCTTCAATTGCTCGTTCCTTTCCATCATTGCACTTATAAGTTCCGACACCGACATTTATTTATTTATTTATTTATTTAATGCATCCATATAGGACACGCCAAAACACTTATAATATGAAATCAGCAGAGCACTAGGCAAGTATAAGAACTAAGGAAAAAAAATCAAATCAACTCAACCAAATTTGAGGAACTGAAAGGAAATCGGTTGAATGAGTGGCACGCTGAGCAGGAGCACCCTTAAGAAAGAACCACAGAGATAACCCCACAGGACATACCACCTAAGAGCCGTCATAGTCTTCTGCAAGGACCCGCATCAGCCGGCTAAGATGCCCTTCACCAACAATGGGGTCATAGGGACTTGCTGAAACTCCGAAACACGGGTATACCGGCTGCCCACGTGGAATCAGCAAGCTGGAGTGAATGTAGAAAACCAAGACAGCTCTGCCCGAGGTGGATCAGTCCGTTGAAAATGATAGTCGGTTCGCAGAACAGGTCAACACAAACTGACAAAAGACACAGGGAGCAAAGCATCAAGTGCCGCTACTCAACGAGCAACTCACAAAACATAAGAAGGGAGGCTAGGAAAACACATTACAGATACTTCCCGTAAACCCTAACATGGATACCCGAGGTAAAAAAAATTACCACGAGCATGTCACGTAGAAAAACAATAACAGATGCCATGAGCCAGCAAAAATCCAAGTGTCCACTCGAAGTGAGCTTCGAATGCTCCACCAAAATCATAACAATCAAATCCGAATGAAGAACGCAATACCACATATGGGCTGTAGGCCAGATAGAGAGTCAACGGAAGAAAAGAAAAAATTGATGCTCCTCCAGAAACAGATGCCACTGTACGAACTCAAGGTCACGGCACTACCTAGGAAACCACACCACGGCAGAAGCACACCACGACGTACCAACATCACATGAAAAGCACACGGGAGTATCCCATCTCTCAAGTAGAAGTCACTAGTGAGAACACTGTAATAAACACCGCGCACAAACTGCGCAACGTCAATCTCAGACGGACCATTCTTCAAAAAACTCGAGTTTCCTGATTTAGCATTGGTCGATTGGCGAGCCTTCGTCTTGTTCTGAGACATGACCAACTAATCAAAGTACTGTGTATCGAAAACTTAACTGCGTCGACGGTGCAACTGCTCCGTACAATCTCCCAATCCAGTAACTGTGATGGGATATCGAAAAGATATGCTGGTATATCCTCAGAGTGACCGATGCCGAATAATATGATGTGATAGGAATACCACGTCGTATGGATAGCAGCAGTAGGTCAGGTAATAAGCAGTTCACCAACAGAATATGCCCGGAGCGATAGGAAAGTCGGCCGCTCACGATGGGTGTAACCGAGCAAATTACTTGAACCTTGCTTTTTTCAGCATTCCAAGAGCTTGTCAAGGCCTATGGGGATCAAGCTCGGTCTTTGTTGGAAGGAGGAGTGGACGTGCTACTTGTCGAAACCGTTTTTGACACCGCTAACGCCAAGGCTGCACTGTTTGCTATTCGCGGGCTATTCGAGGACGAAGGTCTGATGGTTAAGATAATACATTTTTCATTTTACCGAACTGATTTCTGTTCGCTTTCTCGATTGCATTCTTTCGCTTTTATTGGAGGTATCTCCTTGTCGCTTTCGTGAGCGGATCAATCGCTGATCTTGCTTTGCTTGGGGAATTTCCCGGCGCTGCTTACTTTAGGCAGCGTTCACACTTGTAGCGCTACAGCGTCGCGCTACAGCGTCGCGCTACAGCGTCGCGCTACAGCGTCGCGCTACAGCGTCGCGCTACTGCGTCGCGCTACAGCGTCGCGCTACAGCGTCGCGCTACAGCGTCGCGCTACAGCGTCGCGCTACAGCGTCGCGCTACAGCGTCGCGCTACAGCGTCGCGCTACAGCGTCGCGCTG